TTTTTAAAATCCAATGTGTGGATCACATAATATTTCAAAAATTTTAACTTTTGAGTATAGATGATCCGCACTGTATTTCCCAGACTAATAATAAAGCGAAAAATAAGAATTATCATACGTGGTACAGTTATATGAACTTCTATGCAGATTCATCCGTGATGTGATTGGTTGGTAATTATTCCAGTTTAACGATCAGGCTCCGGATCTAATTGGCATTATATTGAGGCGTGATGTAATTTACATAGTTCAATAATTAGGCATTTGCCAACCTCCAGCTAATTTTACCCTTCACTTTACGCTTTCGAATAGGGTGTTTCTTTGCAGATACAGTCATGTGCATATTATCTTCGGCATCAGAAAGAGATTTCTTAATCATATTCGTAAGCTCCTCCAATTTTAGGCCAAGTTTACTCTCACCAGAGGCAGTCGTATAATGGTCAGCTTTGCTCTTCTTCTTTTGAGGACAATTGTAAGAATTGGATTCTGATGAATCGGTCTCTGTTCTAGAATCAGAATGGTCTAATGATTTATTTTTACTAGAGCTGACTTTGTTAAAATCGTTTTTGATCGGAATACTCATACCATCTATTTCATTTTTGTATAAAAATCATTAATTTCAGAAGAAAACCCGAAACCTATTTTTGCTTTATGTATCCATAACCAATCTTGTCCTAATACCAGATCAAATGGTGGATTTTTTCGAATTATAAAGTCAATTGTTTCAATACCATCCAAGCTTTGCCACCTCCCTTTATAATGAAATCGTAAATCTAGACCTTTTATTTCTTCACCTATCAGATCATCACCGAATTGACATTCTAATCCGTAATCAGATTCAAGCTTATTTGCTAATAGTATTGGATTTAGATGTTATATTGATTAATGCTTTAACTGGGGTTTTTCCTTCTACTAGCGTATTGATGAACATGTTAAATATATTTAATGATGTACAGTGTGTAATGAAAAAAAATGACCTCTAAATTTGTTTTCTAAGAAAGTAACCAAAATCCAAAGCCGCATAATAAAAATTATGTCAAAGAATCAAAAGATCATAAATTATTACATGTAAAAATTTTGAAGCATATTATTATGTGGGCTTTAGAGCAATGATTAAAAAACTTTGCATTGAAATTTTTCTAGTTGAATTTCTTTTATTTTTAATTGACAAATTTTTAGAAAATATGGGTACATATAGTTTTATATAAATGATCTTCGGAACTTAAGCTACAAATTAATATATATTTTTTATATGATTATTATGTGTGTTTTTGTGTTAAAGCAATTGTTAAAAAGTTTCATGTTAAAATTTCGGAGGCAAAAATTTAAAAAAAATTAAAAAAAGAGACATGATTTGACCTTACAAAAAATTGGCAATAGTATTTTATATTGAGTTTTTTTTTAAATAAAGTAATTGATTGACTTTTAAATGAATCTAATTTTGTTTAATTATCTCATGTATTTCTTGGGTAGTTTAATTTTTTGTGAGGTCAATTTTTTTCGTTACACACTGTATATGACAGTGTATGTAATTAGACAAGTTATCATCCACAAGATACACCCATTGTCACAGTAATAGTGCATATGTAATGAAGTCTTTTTCTGTAAAAATAACAGTTTGTCTTATTAAAAATAGAGTCAATCTTGAAAGTCCCGTTACATACTATAAACTAAGGTTCCTCCCATAAGTTTCCATTCGCACAATCACTTTAGTCGATACCTTTCTTTTGATGAGTATTTTATGCAGACCAAAGAAACCTAGTTGCATTGTCATTGAAATATTCATGACTGATGATTCATTAACCTGATGTTTTTGGTTTTCCATAAAGATTGTCATGTCATGTCATTCTTCTGCCGGAGCAGGCCATTTGAAACAAAGGACCTAGAATGATTCAATAAATCTTGCACAAAATCAAACTAATATTAAAAGGTATTCTTATATATAACATTTTTATAGTAATGAATGATCCATTCACGTTCAATTAAATTGGGGTGGGTGTTTGAATTTCACATGAACCAAGTAAAAAACAACATCCTTTTATTAAACAATACTTTTAATCATTATTTTTTTATTTTTTTTATAATGTATGATAATACAATACAATCACTATTTATCCAACAAACAGGAATTGTTATTAGATAGCACTTACAAAATAATAATAATAATAATAATTAATTAAATACAGATGATGATGATTATGATTTTGATTATGATTATGATTATGATTATGAATATGATTATGTAAAATAAATATGAGTATGAATGAGAAAATTTTGTGAAATATAATACACATTGCATTATGAACATGATTAATTGAAAATGATTAAAAAAAACGATTTAATTGATTTTAATTATGACCCATAGAATTTTGAAAAACATTTTTCTACTAAAGGTGTACTTGGTTGACTCTTGCTGACCATTCCTTGTACTTGTATCCCATTGACCTCCACGCCAGATCCAACACTACGGAAAGTATCATACAAATTATTTTTATGACTATTTACATTGTTATTATTATTTGAAAGTACAGCAAGACTACGAACTTTACGTAAACGTAAGGATGGATATTTTGGGGGTGGACTTGAAGGTGCGATTTTCAATGTAGAAGAAGCTGATGACGAAGAAGAAGAAGGAGAAGATGACGACGACGCGGATGATGACGTGGATGATAAACTTGGATTTGTTGTGTCAAATGAAAAGGCAATACTCCTACTGGTAGTTGCTGTATCATTATTATTATTAGTAGTATTATCCAATGGGTCAATGGTCAATGATGATATGATTGAATTGGACCCATTTTCTGTAAAAATTTCTCTAATTATATCTTTTTGTTCATCGTAACCTTCAAACATCAAATCAAAATATTCTATTGCCAATCTCATCAATAATCCAACACCACCACCAACATTTGGGTCATTAGGATTTAATAAACAATGTTGAATATCAATCTTTGGATTTCCGCTGTGTACCAGATTAGGAGCGAACACAACAGCCAAGTTATATGGTGTCATTAGATTTTTGTCATGACGTTTAGAAATTTCGTGAAGTAGTGAGCAGACATATCTCAAAAGAACAATCACAGCAGGTGATAATAATGGGAAAACTGATGATCTGATGTATTCAATTCTTTTCACGTAATCTGGTTTTGATTGTATAAACTTAAGTGCATCATAGGTCTCTGCTGGAAAGACTGCAATTGGTAAATGACTAAAAAACATTTTTAAAAGTACTGCTGCTACATGAACACCATAATCTTCTAGATTAACAGGATTTCCTATAATATTATAAATAGCATACAATATGTTTGAAATACACATTATTTTAATATTATTATAGTTGTAAATATTTATAACCAGCCATAAAAATATAAATAAATAAATGGATTTGGATATAAACCTCTGTTATATGCTGCCATTGCTTGTTTCAATAATAATGAACTAGGCGATCTACGAAAAACGCCTTCAGTATCCAATCCTATATAAGAGTAAAAGTTTTTATCAATATTAACATTAATATTCCTATTATTATTATTATTAAATATATTAAATCTATAATTATATTATACCTTCAGATCTTAAATATGTAACACATTCTTTGACTACACTGGGTAATCCTTTTTCGCCTTCTAAACCCATCAATGTTTCAATGGGAACGTTAAACACTGATGTTTCATCTTCATCATAATTGGGTGAAGGTGGTAAAGTTATTTTATCTTCAAATTTTAAATTATGTCTATTTGAAAATTTTAAAATGTTCAATAAAGTAATAAAATTAATCAATAATATTAAATCATCATGATCATGATGATCACTATTATTATCATGTTGTCATCGACATGTTAAAATTATTGCATCATACTTACTCATAGACGGCTGGGGGTATATCAATTTGTGTAATAGGAACATATATAGCTAATTGTGATAAACTGTTAATATATTTTATTTTCCTAGAAAATTTCGGGCTTTTTTTAAAAAATAATAATATTAATAAAAACACATGTATAATTATAAAAATTATGACGCATATAAAAATAAAATACCTAATCATTGCATTCATAAAATCAAGAGAAAGACGTGCCCAGGTTGCTGGTTGTACTATATACAAGGATTTAAGGTTTTTCTTGTACCTATTATTTTTAAATAAAAAATTATAATATATTTTAAATTATTGTAATTATTTACGATAACATTATTATTGATAACCTACTTTCTACTTAAACTCTTGTATGCTTTGAACATCCATGTCCAACCTGGTTTATGTTTTGCCCCACCCGTAAAAAGTACAACTGTATAATCACTTTCAACAAATAGATCAAGTTTATACAAAATACGTCTGATATATATATTTTTCAGAGGGAAGGAAACCATCAATATGTACATGTGTATATATACAAATAATATTATACGATATAAAAAATAAAATTAGAATAATAATCATACGATAAGATTCGATCATAGCCAACTTCTGCAGGATCGGGTAAATTACAGGCACAAATTATTACCATGGGTTTACTTTCAAAATCAACACCTTAATGAAATTTTTATATGAATATAGAAATATGAATAAGGAGTAAAATAAGGAATGGGGAATGGGAAAAGAAAAGGAGAAAAAATAAAAACAGGGAAAAAAAAATTTTTTTTTTTTTTACCAGCTTGATAAATAATTTTGGAATACACATATTCAGCTAAAGCCTCTTCGTCGAGTGAAGTTCTAGAGACTTGTTGTTGTCGTAATTCAGGAGATACTCTGAAAAAATATTTCCACATTATAAATATATATATCCTTTATTTTCTTTATTTTTTAGAAATAATTTTATTTTAGATAATAAATAGGGGGTGTAAAAGAAAGAGGAAACAAAATTTTTATTTACAATAAATATAACGTTTGTGTTAGTGTTGTTGTTTTCTTTAAGAGAAAACTAATAAATATTATGAATATCATAGGTCCCCAAAAAACTTTTAATTGAGGACCCTGAAAAATTCGAAGGCTTGGAGGTTTTGTTTTGTTTACGACTATCTTGCAACATTGTAAAAATAGCATTTGTGGAAAAATAAAAAGTAAATAATGTAAAGCCCAAAAAATCGTGCATTATTAATACTTATTTATTGAATTATATTACAAGAATTTTGATAACCATCACCATACAAAACATTATTTTGTTCATCACAACTTTCAGCATATTGATTATTATGACAACCAGCTCCTTGGTAATCATCCATAGATTGATCACAATAACTCATATATAAAGGATCGCGCCGGCAGGCAACCATATAAGAATTTTCACCTTGATTAGACCATGATAGTTGTTCGCTGCAATCATCACAGCATTGAACCGAATGGCTTTCTTGGCTACAATATTCATAATTATTGTCATATGCTTCACCACCACTTTCAATAAATTTTGGCCCACCACACGATAATGGTAGTTCTCCATCATATAATTGTGCTCCTGTACCCACTCCTAATGGTAAAGGTTGTATTTCGTCACGTTTATTATTGTTATCAGATGTAATTGAGAATTTAGGTAATGCAAAAGTTGTACTAACAATGGATGTGATGATTATAATCGTAATGATATAGATTGTGATTTTCAACATTTTTAATTTTTATTCTTTTGCTTTCTTTCTTGGGAAAAATATTTTGATTGAAGAAATTGAAGAGAACATCTAGTTGAATAGTTTCTTATATAGTTATTATAATAATTGTTCTTTAATTAATCAATCAATTTGTTTAAATTATTTATTATATTAATTAAACAGCCAGCAATATAAAAATTTATTAATCAATTAAATCATTTAATGAATTCACTTTATTTATTTATATATTGATAGGTGTGTGCACATTTTATGTTACACCAATAATCAATTTGCAAGGCAAATAGTTTTTTGGTCAGTAAAGAAATCGAGACTGTATTCACCTCCTTCTTTTCCCAAACCTATTTATCAACATTGATTTAAAAAAATATATATACATAATGATTTTTTTTAATTCAAATTAACAATAAATCACAATCACAAATAGTTGATTATTTACTTACCGCTTTTTTTTACTCCACCAAATGGCAATCCCAGATCTCTAATCAACCAACAATTTACCCATACAGTTCCCGCTTGTATTGCTTCAGCAACACGCCTTGCACGTTTACCATTTCCACTCCATACCGAGCAACTTAAACCATATTCAGTATCATTTGCATACTCTATAACTTCTTCCTCACTTTCAAATGTATGAATAGTCACAACCTATATCATTCATATATATATGTGTGTGTATGTTGATTATATTATATTTGGAGGTTATAATAAATGATGAACCAAGGTGCTATTTGTATTACTTACAGGTCCAAAAATCTCTTCTTGTGCTACACGACAAGATGGCTTAACACTAATTCAATTAATTTAAATTTTTGATCAATTAATTTAAACGACAAATGAAACAATCAATAAAAATAATATTTACTTTGTGATAACTGTTGGCTCAACGAAATAACCTCCACACAATTCACCATCATCCATCAATTTACGTTTACCACCACACTCAATAACACCACCCTCTTGTTTTGCTAACTCAATATATCCAAGCACTTTTTCCATATGTTGTTTACTAACCAATGCACCAACTTGAGTTCTGGAATCTTTAGGATCGCCAACAATCAATTTCTGAGCTTTTTCAATGAATGAGCTGAGGAATTTTTTATAAATAGTTGATTGAACAAATATTCGAGATCCACATAAACAAATCTAATGATATATTTATAATTAATAATAATCATAATGATAATAATAATGTAATTATGTTGTTTAGTACCTCTCCTTGATTACTAAAAGCTGCTTTAATACTTGTGTCAACAGCATTATCAAAATCGCAATCATCAAAAATTATATTGGGATTTTTTCCACCTATGCAATATATTGTGTGATTTAATTATTGAAGAGGGGGGAAAAAACCATAAAACTTTTTTATTATTTTTTACCAAGTTCCAATGAAAGTTTTTTGAAAAATGGCGCACTCGTTTCAAGAACCTTTTTTCCAGTCACAGTTCCTAAAACGCACAAAAAGAATAAATATATTATAGTTTTTTTTTACAAACGCAAATGCACAAGTATATATATGTAAATGAAATACCCACCTCCTGTGAATGAGATTAATGGAACTTTTGGATGAGAAACTAAAGCTTGACCTGCATTTGATCCTAAGTAATAAAGCTCATATTATTATTGTTTTATTCTTCTTTTTGAAAAAAAAAATAAATGAATATGAATATGAATATGAATATAAAAACCTGATCCAAACACAATATTAACAACACCATCAGGTAAACCAGATTCCTTAAGAACAGAGCAAAACACTTTTAAGGAAATCAAATCAGGTTAGATTGGATGTAAAACTCATTATTATTATTTATTTTCATCTTCCTTTGAAAAATAATTATATTAATCTATTGTATGCAAGGAAATATTTACTGGATGCAGTAACACTTGTAAGTTCACTAGGTTTTACTACACATGTACATCCAGCTATTTCAGGAAAAAAAATTCTTGTTAGTTATTTATATTTATATTATTAATTTTTATGATTTGATTTGGATTTTTACCTGCAATACATGGAGCCAGTTTCCATGTTAAAAGATATAATGGTCTTTAAGTAGGAAGGAAAAAATAAATTTATTAATTAATAATTGATTAATTGCTCAATTTGTTGATCAATCAATTATAAAATATACTTGCAAATTCCACTAATTATTAGAAAAATCAAATTTAATAAAAAATTTAGTACGGAAATAGTACAAATAAACAAATAAAAAGAATTACAGGGGAAATCAATCCAGCTACGCCAATAGGATATCTTTGAACATAGCTTAATGAAACACCATCCAACACATGAGCTTTTTCTTGTGTGTGAAGAATGTAACCAGCAAAATATCTAAAATTATAGATCGATCTATTAATGTCAACATTGGTTGCAAAAGTAATAGTTTTGCCTTGATCTTGTACTTCAGCTTCAGCAAATTCATTTAATCTAGCTTCAAGTAAATCTGCTATTTTGTACATAATTTTTGATCTGATTTGTACTGATGTTTTTGACCATTTTAAAAATGCTTTTTGAGCAGCGTGTACTGCTTGATCTATTTCTTGTTTACTAGAATCTGGAATTTTTGCATGAACCTTTATATAGTATTTTATATACATATATATATATAAGTTATAATCATGATCCTTATAATTTTTACAATTTAAATATCTATTTCTTTTTTTTACCTTTCCAGTCGAAGGATTATAACTATCAATATAGCTTTCTTCTTTTAGAGATAAAAATTCTCCACCTATAAAATTTTTTAATAGCAACATTTTTCTTATTGAAAAAAAAAGTGAGAAAAAGTAACAATTATTTAACCAATTATATTTATTTTTGATTATTTATTTGTTTATTATATATACAAATATAGATTGATAATGAATGAAAATCAGCACATTTAATTAAAAAAAAAGGAAAAATTGAAATTGTTCATAAAATTAAAAAATAAAATGATATAATCATAACACTATTATTAAATTGTTATTAAACCATTATCGTTATTCTCCTACATCAAAATTTCCATCCGATGGCATTCTTAATGCGGCAAAAACTTTTTTCATTGAATCAACAATTAATTCATTGGTTGGTGGTGGTGAAGGTGGTGAAGGTGCAGAGATTGATGTTATTGTTGATAATGCCGGTTTTCTCTAATTAATAAAAAATTATGTTATTAAATGATATTTTAAAAAGAATGAGAATAAATTTTGTTGACTAATTTTACCTTGATTTTAAATTCTTCGACAGATCGATCTGTTATTTCTGGTTCCTGGTTTGAAGGTGATATTGTGGTCGTTGTTATCGGTATATTATCGTTATCATTATCAATAATAGGTATTGTGTTAGCGACATCTATATTTAAAGTTGCTGCAATTTCTGCCATTTCTTTTTTAATTTTTTCAGGCTAAAATGAATAAAAACGATTAAAATCAATTAAAAAACTATTTCTGATGTGGAAAAGTAACCTACATCCACTTTTCCACTACGTAATTCAACAATTCCAATATGACCAGTATGCTTTATAAAAAAATGATTTGAAAGCGTTAATAGAAGTTTAAGAGGTACGCGAGTTCAATTTCAAACTCGGTTCAGTTTCTTACACAAATTACACTTTATGTACAAAAATACTCACTTGAAAATTAGAAGGAAGACCAATCATTCCCTTTTGGATTTTTTTTTTTGTTTTCGCTATTTTTGTTTTATTCTTAAGGAACTTTACATTTGATAACTTATCATTATTGTCAGTATGGTAAGATTGAGAACTAATACCAGTTTCCTTGAGTTGTTTATCTGAGGATAAAGATGCACAATTTCCCATTCTTATTAATCGTAAAAAGATTTTTATTTTATTAAAAAATTAAAAATTAAAAAAAAATTATTAAATGTGTGTGTATATATATATATGCAATAAAATAAAAAAGTTTGTTTGGGGGGGAAGTTTTAGAAATGCAAATAATTTTTATTTTTAGCATACACACAAACAAACTCGCATTGTCTTTTTCTTTATTTAGAATTTATTAGCTTTTACATAAACTAAGTGATACAAGAAAAACTTCGTAGAGAGAGTTTATAATTATTATAATTTACAAAAAGTACGAGCGAACAGAGTGAACAAACGGTGCGAGCGCATAAAGTACATTGACTTTATTAAACTGAATGCTTTGGGAAGCCTGAGAACAAAAATCAAGCTTGGAAAAATCACCTGACTTAATTCAATTTTCTTATACGGCTAGACCCGCAATTTCGCCTTGCAGATCTTTCCATTCGTAAGGAACTAATCGCTTATTGTTGTTGTTATCATTGTTATTATATTCGAGTGTGAACGATTGGCACTCCTCGGTCAATAAGTAAAGGTTTTTTCTTTCAATATGAAAGGGTAAACATATCACTATAGTTAATAATCTTTGAGGTTTTTCCATCTGCACATAAAAAATTTTTTCAGAAAATAACTTCCAAATTTGGTTAGCATCCCGCCATTTATCAAGTCAAAGATTCCTTATTAATATTAATGACTTTTTTCAATTTAATAGATTACATAAATGTGAAGCATAATAAATTATATTTCTAAAATAGTTGTTAATGATAAAGTTGTTCAGCCGCCCCTCCATATTTTATGATATTTTTTTCAGTGTTACCATGCATTGAATTATTCACCGGTAATTAAACAGTTTCAGATATATTAATATATATATATATGTATATATATGTATATATATGCGAAATTGCGTAGTTCATGTTTTGAAATCGGCGTTATGGCAACACAGAAGTTGTGACTTGTATTGTACGCGATTGTTTTTCTAAATCTCTTTTTTCTTAACGGAATACAGCCTAGGAATCTAAAATTGCAGTTATATAAAAAAAATTACTATTTCCCTTCTTTATTTATTCATCTATCCATTCGTCCATCCATTTGCCAATTTATACATATACATTCTTGTCAGAATAATAGCTTATAAGCGTAATAATAAATATAAAATAAATAATACATATGAAATTAATCAATTAATACAAACAGTTAATTTAATTTGATATACTACCAAAAGAAATTGTATGTTTAGATTGGTTGGTATGCATCGAGAACAAAAGATCCTAATACTAATTATATAACTCTGTCACATGTGGCAAAAGATTATTTTTCAATACAGGCTACGAGTGTATATAAAGTGAACAAATGTTTAGCATTGCTAAAAATATATTCGAAATAGGTTAGATTCGGAAAGGCACAAACGAGTCTATGCCTAAAGATCTGGTTTGAAGCAGAAATTGTTTCAATCTAATTTTATGTATTATAATAAAATAATAAGCTGTTTTTAGCTTAAATAATATTACAAATATTTTTATGTTTTAAAAACAAAGCTTGAGACTTTTTCCGAGGACTTTTTCAAGACTTTAAGTCCCAATATAGGATTGTCATGACCGATTAACATCTTTAATCAGGAACCCTGACCACAAGATCTAATCTTATAACAAAGGTTCGTTATAAGGGTACATCTCTTTTTGTATATTACAAACACGATTTTTGGAGTTAGCGAAAAAATACAATCAATGCAATATTTGACGATAATACTATCTTTGGAAATTTTCGAAAGAAAAGGAAAAAACTGTACACAAAATTGATTACGTTGTGTATAAACCCGATCATTTTTCGCTATCATGATCGTAAGCATTCTTTCAAATTTTTTAAAACGTTCAAAGGCTGTATTTATATAATTATAACAAAAAAAAAATATCATTTAATTAAAATTAAACAATCTGGAATTGATTCATTACTGTTAAAGGAATCAACTAGGTTTTTTTGAAAATGTAAAGAATATTCTTTCCTGCTACTACTGTACTAAAAAAGCATAATGGATTAATTTCCTATTAATTTCCTTATTGAGCGGGTCAACCATGTCTTTTTTGAGAATACTTTTCCCGCCACTAAAAAAACAATAATTTCATTATTGATAAAGGAATCAACCAAGCTTTTTTTGGATGTAAAGAATATTTTTTCCAAAAAGCATAATAATTAAAAAAAAAGTTACCCAGTTTTTTTTTTGGCGTTAAGTTCAATAAAATTTAATTTTGATCATCAACCAATCAAAAACTCTTCTATATGTAAATAACAATATTTTTATCAAAGAAAACGACAAATTCAGTATTTTTAAGAAAGGGAAATTCTAAAAAAACAATAGTGACAATTATTGAGCTGAAACTCTACATTCTACTTATTCTACTTGAGAATTATTGTCAAACAACAATCACCACTGTTGGTGTTACTAATACTAATATTAATACTAATACTAATATTAATACTAATACTAATATTAATACTAATACTAATATTAATACTAATACTAATACCGTAAGTTAAATTCTTTCATAATTTAGAGGATGAAAATAGCTAAAGCCAAATCATTATTATAGATAAAAAGGAAAAATAAAAAACTTGCTTTTATTTAGTTCAAGCTCTAGTTAAACTAGATTTTGACTTCTTTATTATCTATTTTTAGACTAATCGATATTGATAAGTAGATTTAACAAACATCTTGTCAACATCTACTACAACGAATACTACTAAAAAAAAACAAGAAAATCATGGAAAAAAGAAGTTAATTCAGGTATGAAATTTATGGCGTGCTTAAATTTATAATATTAAAGAAATGATATTGATGACACTGAAAACAGATCGCTATGCGATTAATACATGATATAAACTCGGAAGCCCCCGTAATCCATATAATAAAAAAATGTAAATTAACAATTCCAATATATACAAAATTAAAAAATATAATTTATTAAAAATATACATTTTTTCCGAATAATAGACATTTTTAAATTTTGTTACATCGCTAAGATATAATCTTATTCCTCAACTACTTTCAGTCACCAGTCAAAAAAAGGTATGCATACTTTTAATATCATTTTAAATGTTCCAATCATTGCAATATCTATTCATTTTAGGTCGTTAATTAGAATTGGTATATTTGATGGTATAATAGCAGTAAATATAGAAGCAAAAAATTTGATAAAGGAAAAGTTAAAAAATTGACATCTTAAGTATAGTAAACAACAATAATATCTTGATATCAGTTGTATGTTAACTTGGATTAGAAAGGCTCGTGATTTGGTATTCAAAGACATTTATAAAGCTAGCGTAATCAGTGATCATGCCATATTAGAGGTTTGTTGTACGAATTTGATGGTAAATTATTATTATAGTGTACGAAAACTTGATTTTTCCCAAAATTTTAAGTGTATGAAATCGTATATTTGTTCGATATACCGACAGATTTTATAAAATTTATTAACGTTGACAGAAGTGATAAAGGAAGCCAAACTTACAAAGACATCGTTTCAAGGCTTTCCCGGAATCACTCCTATTTTATTAATAATCATTAGGAAGCCCTAGTCTGGCTCTAAAAAATTTTATTATGATGAAAAAAGTCACTTGTTAAAAGAAAAACAACGAAAATTTTTTTTTGGACAACAAAAAATTTTGTTCGTGTAATGGTTATAATGAATGCAATGTCCTGCGGCTGGTAAGAAATTCTCAGAAACTGATTCAAATACTTTTTTTAAAGACAATAGTGGTGACAATAATAATGATAAGTATAAAGAAAACTTAATTTATTCATTACCTTCACCGTATTTAATTTCAGTCCAATCAACAATATGATAAATTCTTTCTTTACAAACGTATTTTATTGTTGATGTTTTTGTGGTGCCAGTCGGGTCACCTATTATCAACATCTTAACACCTTGTAAAATGTTCTATTTATATTTTTTTGATGATTTTTTTCAATTAGATGAAAGGTAAATTGTCATTATTATTGTTGTATATTTGCATTTTTGTTGACATTTTCAAACATGTCACCAAGTGCCTCATCAACTTATTTTCTTCCCTAAATATTATAGATAAAAGGTGATTAATTAAATTAATTAATCAACCAACAAGTCCATGTCCATATATTAAAAAAAAAACTAACCTCGGACAGATCATCGGAGGCACATTTTTTTTTTTAAAAAAAAAACAATTAATATTAAACTAGAGTGACGACAAGTGCCGATAACCACCATTATTACGATAATCACTTACTCGCGTTGTTCTTTTCCTGTTTCTTTGTTTCTTCTTTGGCAGGCATTTTGAGAAAATTAATTTTTTTTATTACACTACTCAAAATTAAGTTCCTGAAAAAACAATAAGAAAGAAAAAATGAAAATTTATTATTATTATTATTGGCACTTGGTGTTTGTACAAAGATTTTTTTGACATGATTGGAATTTTTTTCTTTGGAGGAACAATTTATTTTGACAGATGGCAAAACATGAGTGAATGTTGTTTGGTTTGGTTCTGAAGGCGTGTTAATAACTAACCTGAAGCACTTTTTTTTAATTTGTATTGACATGTCTTTTAGTTATTATAAATATTATAATGAAATCAAAACGCGGACAGATCTTGGTGGATAATTGTGATGATGATAAATGAACAATTGGTATTTCACTTTTGCTTTTCGTTATTAATATTAATATTATACTCGAAGGGAAATCATCACAAAGTTAGCCTATAAAATTAAATGTCCACCATGCTTTTTTATTGCTTTACATGATTGGCAAAACACGAATTAATATTAACCGGAATTTGAATTAACTTTTTTGTGCCAATCAATTGTTTACAACAAATTTTTTTGTTCTTAATATTATTTATGGTAATAACAAAATTAATAATCTATCTATCTTTTATGCTAAAAATTTTTTCATGTGGATGGATATGACTAAATTAAATCAAAGTAATAGTAGATGTTACACTTCCGTTTATCTTATTGGAAAATTTAACTAGCTGATTTGTAAAAATTAGTGATGTTAGCCGGCTAAGGAATTTTTAAACGGCTCAGCCGGCCAAAAAAATTTCTCTGGACATTCATTTTTAAATCTGGAATTTTAGTGCAGTATTCAATGGCATAGACATTTAGTTGAAATGGGTCCACATACATTACTTAGGATGACAAGAAAAACATACATTTACTCAAAAAGCAAAATACAATACATTGTAGCAGGATAAAAGCCATAGAGTTTCTATTCGTAATACAAATTCTTATTTAATTCGATTATTATTCGTTTTATTCAAATTATTATATTCATTTATTCGAATTATTCGTTCTATTTGAATTATTCATTCTATTCATTCTATTTGTTCTATTCATTTATTCAAATAAACTTTCAATGTAATTCGAATACTCAAATTACCTCATAGTGAAGAGAGTCAGAAATTTTCACTTCAATCACTATACACCTCGATATGGGGCATGCCGCAACAAAACCAGACAAAGTGAACATTGGTATTACCAAGATTTTCAGAGATCAATAATGTTTAACATCACAATTGTATTGCCAATGCAACATGATCATGATATTTGTCTAGACAAAAATAGTTAATATGAAACTCATTTACATCCGATCTACAATGGAACCCAAAAATTAGAAGTATTTTGAAGAAAGAACAAGGTGAAAAAATTGCTCCTTATATTTTTAAATTAGCAGATACCAAATCTTT